CAGAAAAGCATGAGATTGGGAGAAGTCAAAATAATACATTCGCTTTCTGCTAAGTAGATTCTCGTATTCTTCAAAATTTCTGCTTGTTTTTTAAGTAAAAAAGGAAGACAACAGCAATTTTCTCCAAATCGCCCGTACCGGATTGCAAATATTTTTCAACTGGAGATGTCAATGTCGATGAACCCATTTTTTATATGTAACGGTTTCAATATTGTTGTCATCAAAGATCTCCAGAAGTTGTTGATTGTTGCTTACAATTCCATGACATTTGGCGTAAGTTATTAAAACACATTCTGTGCGTTAAGTATGCAAATCATGTTGTGCAGACAATCTTTATAGTCATTTGACGGATCTATAGTACTTGCAGTCAATGATTTCATATATACTCCATTTATCATTCATTTTACGTTTTCGTGTATGTGTGGCACTTGCTCCTGCAAGACCGCAATGCTTTGAAAAGAGTGTGCAGTCTTACATATTACTTAGAATAACTCTGTTCTACATTTGTATCCTTTTTCTATCAATTTTTATGGATAAGCAGTTTTTATTTACACCCATTATTTGACTATTTTCATCACATTCATTAAAGTCGAAAACTGTCTTGATTACATGTTTTCTTAGCGCTCGATGATTTTTTGGAGTTGGGTCTTCTAATAAACTCTTTTGTGAAGCACTTGTTGTTGCAAGCGTAATCATATGCTTTGTAGCATTTGAGAAGTAAGTCGTGACCCTTCGGAAAGACCAATTATGCATTGCACTCAATATTTTTATATTCATAGTTCTATCTGTTATTCCATTATGTTTTTCCTGTTGATTCTTTAAAATTCATGCGGGTCATATTCTTCATCACTAATATTGAAGTTAGTGGGAGGAATTGTAGTGTTCAGATGTATTCCTGCATGCTTAGTAGCACATTATTTTACTAACATTCCATTCCCATACTTTGTTGTAATGTTTACACAACGTACTTAACAGCCTGTGAGTTTATGCTGAAACCGCAATCACACATATGCAAAATAATTAACGGCTTCTTTTTTAAAGTTTTAAAAAAATATATATTATTTATATATTAAACTTTAAATATTTTTATTATTGAATATGTAACACTTATATAGAATTAATTTATTATTTACATAAGATATTTAATTTTTAATCAATATATTCCGACGACTCAACTTATTTAGATTTTTTTCAACGACTTGTTAAGAGAAGATTCTGCCAACGACTTCTTAGATGAAGACTGAACTTAATGAGCTTCTACCAACGACTTCTGAGATGAAGACCGAACTTCTTGAGCTTCTACCAACGACTGACTTTTAGAAGTTTCCTTCTGATGTCCATAGTCGTTCATAAGAATTTTAGAATTGGATTTGACCAATCAAATTATAGCTTCTAAAATTCATCAGAATATTCTAGAAGCTTCTCATCACCATCCTATAGGATTGAAGCTTCTATTTTCTGAAGCGCCTCGTAAGCGTCTTTAGCTTTGGCGTCAATAGCCAGATGATGAGATTAATCTCCAATAGTATTTGAACATCTCATCGGTCAAGTATTTCAAATGATACTTCATATGTTTTCTGCACGATACTTGCAGTTTGAAAAGAAACAATGTTGCCATAAGAATTATAGGCATTAAGCCTGATTGAAAATAAATACACAATCGCGCGTAGGCGTTAGGAGATATTTAAGTGCGCAATACTTGGAGGCTCATACTTAATATACAAAAACTGTGTGTAAAGGCAAAGTGTCGCTATAGTAATACAGGGTGTTAACTTGCACACTTACTAGAATAGTATGTACCTACATTAGGGTGCCATTAGTTTTCGAAAGTCGGAAAATTGCCCCCAGCACCCTTCAGATCGGTTCATTTTACTAAAAAAATAACCTGTGTAAATTTTTAGTTCAATTGGATAAGTGGAAATGGTGCCACAAGAGCCCCAAAGATTGGAAAATAACGATAACTGGCGATAACAGGATATGTTGTGCATCGTTTGTTTTGCTGACGAGCGCCGCGATCGTGTTGAGTTATTCTCATAACTCCTAGCGGGACACAAAAATATAATTAATTTTTATGATATATATGTTAGAAATGCATATCCTTATGCCTTCGATTACATATAGAAACTCTTCGACACGCTGTTGTAATACAGCCTTTGTACTTAAAAGCAACTATATATAATATTGTTTGGATATATATATGTTATGAATATACATATCCTACGTTCTTTTTTTGAATTCCCGCGCTTATACATTCCGCAATTTTTTGTTATTTTCACGCTGGCAACACTATTATACATATTCTGTCAAAGTTCAACGCATATCGTACGATTAGTTTTTGTTTGGCATTTATACAAAGAAGTCGAAAACTTTTCGTGTGGCGATTTTTAGCTGAATTTCATTCAAAAAAAGCGTCGTTGTTATGTGGCCAAAGAGTTGATTTCTAACGCAGATAGTATCACTGGTGATGAGATATGGGTCTATGAATTTGACATGTCCACCAAACAACAATCGACCGAATGGTGCTTCGAAGGTGAACCGAAATTGAAAAGAGAACGCCAAAGTCGGCCCAAAATCAAGCTTATGCTGACTGTTTTCGTCGATATTCGTGGTGTGGTGTATGAATTCCGGAATTTGAATTCCTTTCGGACAGTCAAACGGTCAATAAGAAGTATTATTTTGCCGTTATGCGTCATTTGCGTGGGGCCATTTGCAAAAAGAAGCCAGATTTATGGAAAGAAAACTCATCGATTTTGCACCACGATAACGCACCGGCTCACACAGCGTTGGTTGTGTCGCAGTTTTTAGCCAAAAACTCCACCAATATCATCAACTAAGCACCATACTCTCCAGATATGGCCCCGTGTGACTTTTTCCTCTTTCCCCGATTCAAATTGCCATTGCGAGGAACGCGTTTTGAGACCATAGAGGCCATAAAATAGAATTCGCTGAATGAACGAAAGGCCATACCTTCGGCGGCCTATAAAACTTGTATGGAAAATTGGATCAAGCGTTGGCATACATGTATTGCGGCAGGAGGAGAGTACTTTGAAGGCGATAATAAAGAAAATTATTAAAAATTAAAATTTTGCGTGTTTTTTTAACTTTTCGTTCTTTTTTGATCAAATGGTACATATATATATATATATATACACATTCTTTATTTTTGATACACATATCTTATAAATATATGTATCTTTATGCCACCGAATACATTTATTATTTATGTGTAGCGATTTATATTTTATTTCTCCAAATATACATAAAATAGTTTTAAATACTTTTTCGTAAGACCGCCACAGGACTTGCATGTTTAACTAATTATATACATATTTTATTTTTGATATATACATTGTGACCGAAAGATTTTCGGAAATTCTCATTTAAAATTCGCGCGCTGTATATTTTTCGATATTTTAAGTTTATGTAGTTTGGCAGCACTGTCCTTAATTACTATGCCCAAAATGAGCGCGATCTGTCAGACAGTTCGTTTACGGCAGCTGTTGAAACCAGTTCACCTCAGTAGTGCGTTGCGAAAAAAACAATGGAAAAAAATATTGAACAAAGAGTTTGCATCAAATTTTGTTTTTCGAACGAAATTTCGTGTGCAGAATCGTTGCGAATGCTACAAAAGGCTTATGGGGAATCAGTTTTATCGAAAACTCAAGTTTATGAGTGGTACAAAGCCTTTCAGGACTGTCGTACGACCGTCGAAGACATGCCGCGTTCTGGACGACCTTCGACCTCTACCACCGACGAAAACATTGAAAAGGCAAAGGAAATCGTGTTCAAAAATCCTCATGTGAGTGTTAGAGAGATAGCACGAGAGCTAGGCATCGGTCGTGAGATGGCTCGTTTGATTTTGGTGGACAATTTGTGTATGCGACGTGTCAACGCCCGGCTTGTTCCGATTCACCTCAATTTGTTCAACATTATCAACGATTTTAAGGCCAAACATTCAATAAATACCATCGAACAGCCACCGTATTCACCTGATCTTGCACCGTGTGACTTTTTCCTGTTTCCCAACCTCAAATTACCACTCAGAGGAACGCGTTTTTAATCCATAGAAGACGTAAAACAGAATTCGCAGAGGGAACTCAAAGCCATACCGGAAAGCGCCTATAAAAAATGTTTTGATGATTGGAAGAAACGTTGGCATTTGTGTATCGCTTCTAATGGAGCATATTTTGAAGGAGATAAAATAAATATTGATGAAGATTAAGAATTTTGCGTTTTATTTAATTTATTCCGGAAACTTTTCGGTCACAATGTATATGTTATAAATATATTTTGAAGCTCAGGCGTATCGCTTCTTAACCAACTGACCCAAAGCCGTGCTTGACTGACGCGAATCGTAGGGTAACATTAGCATTGCTTTCTCAGTGTTACTTTCGTAGATTAGGTTCTATACACAAAGAGAGAAATAAACTCATGCAATAAAATAATGCCTCTAAAAAAATAGTATTGAAATTTCACAATTAAAAATAAAAATATAATTATTTAATTCAATTATTAAATCAATTATTCTGGTTTATGATTTCGTTCTAATGTGAACACACCAAGTAAATTTGTTAATAAAACTTTCACAGCAAAGTAACAAAACTCCAGAGAAATGTGCGAACATAAAAGTCAAGTATGACTTTGGGTCAATTGGTTAAGCAGCGCTGACTCTGAGCTTCAAATTTGGTGGGGCACGAACCTGGTACAATCAAATACAAGAATTATTTCCAAGACCGCTAATGATGGGTATTTGGCAATACTCGAAACAGCTGTATGGTCAGTCAAAAACTAAATTAATTAAAATAATATAAAATTAATATTTGCTCTTGTATTTCGAAAATACCTCTTAAGAAAAATTTAATGAATTAAAAATATAATAATTGCAATAATAAATAAAAAAGGTGTGTACATTTTTATTTTATAATAATATATTGCTTTATTTATTATCAATTTGCATGTAATTTCAGATTAATTCAAGTATATTAAATTATTTACGTTAATGTGTTTAAATAAAACCTGTGATGAGTTCAATTAGTTTAAAAATTAAAATTTCGGAAATTTGACTGATAATTGTTTGGGATATATTATATATCAATTTAATCCTACACTTTCAACATATTCAATATATATTTCTTTTATACCCAAAATTTTATTTATCCCCCTTGTAAGTCGTATTTGAAAAAGTTGTAAAGAGGAATGTAATATGTACATATTCTGTAAATTTCAGTATGACAAAAACACATTAAAACACACTTTTAAATATTGAAAACCACATCCAAAAGGCGCATTTGTAAGACCGTCTACATCCCACGCTTAATAATACCATCGCTTTTGTGGACATGTAAGTTTATTCTGCTTATCTTGTTTCAAGCGAAATCGGATGTCCTGAACACAACATCCGATTTCAGTTTGAATGTCAATTTCGGATTGCTTCTTCAGTAAGTATCCACAACCTGCAGTAATAAGTATCAACATAAGAGCCATAATAAATTGCATAATTTGTGTCCGCCACATTCGAATTTCTAGTAAATTTTTTGGATTCTCAACAGTTTCCTTAACAACTTGACACAAGTCCTCCTCCTTTTCTTCTATTATCATCTGGTTTTCTTGTACGTCAACACAAGGTTTTATTGTATCAATGGGATTATCTATCATCTGGAAAAGTAAATGATTATAAAGTTTTAACCAGTTTGAAGCTTTAGAAAACTAAGATATAAACATCCAAATTAGAGTTAAACCCAATAAATATTGTGATGTTATTCAGTTCTTTTAGATGTTTTTCTACTTATACAGAATTTTCAAAAACAAATAATATCTTTTGCTTTCGGTACTTATGAAAGAGTTGTTTTCATCAAATGTAGAAAGTTAAACGGACAATTGTTTTGGCTATATTGTATTTCAATTTACTAATAATAAATATTAGGTACTAATACCACACAGAAATGAATGGAAACGAAACATACCTTTATTTGTTGAAAATTACTATCTATGGTACACGGAAGGCTCGAAAACGAGTCTATCGGGTTAAACCAAAAGAGGAAATATTTGCGAGTATGAATCAAGAAAATTTATTTTTTCAGATCGAAGTAAACGCAAATGAACTATCTCTAAGAGAATATGAAGGAAAACCCACCATGGGAAAAAGGACATACCTATGTATATTTTCTTTGACAGTAAATCAGCACTCATAGCACTAAGCTCACCTCAAGTGACTTTAAAACTTGAGTAAGAATGCCTTCAACAATCAAAAGATCTTGCTGAAAGAAATAGGATCCACTTAGTAACACTTACCACAAGATTTCGACATGAGAGCCGAGACTATCTGTGCCTCGTCACGTAGACAAAATAGTGTTGCTCAATAATAAATATCTATAATAAGTATAAATTACTACAATTTCAATACGTTTTAGAGAAAAAAATTTCCGAAAATATCTATAATAATCTAATTTTTACACTTTCCGATTTTAAGGAAATGCGTATAAATTTGTAAATACTTGTGACAACACCAAAAAATTATTATAAAAAACTGTCAAAAAGAAAAAGAGTGTTCCAACGATCAAGTCTCCTGCCATTATGATTGAAAGAAATGTAAAACAAAATAATTTGTAATATTTAAATAAATAAAGTAGACAAAATAAAGTAACTACAACAACCACTACATACTCTTAACAATTATTATGAGAAAATATAATAATAAATTAACATTTTTACAGCCTTCATGGCAGCTAATTAAAAGCGAACATATCTACATTCCCTTTTCAATTTAGGCACAACCAAAAAGTACAACAGTAGCAATAGTAGTAGAAATACGGAAATGGCAATACAGATGTGACACTCTATATAATATGAATTTTCGTCATAGCCCGAAAGAGTCAATTTTGACGTGGCCGTAACAGTCTCCATAACATGGGCCTAACTACGATAAAGAATGAATTTTGAGGTATATACAAATGATTTCCGTAATACAAGGAAGCAAGACCACCTAATATGTTCTTAAGGACTATGCCCAACTGTGCAACGAAAACAGGTCCTTCTGTGATTACGAAAGAAGGACAATTGTTCCAAGCAGCGTACACTGCTTTCTCTTTCTCTCTTTATCTTTTTCTCTCTTACCCCTAATTTCGCTTTGAGTAAAATTTCAATATTATTTTGCTTACACTTACACTGTTATTTAGTATGCATTGATATGTAATTAAAATTTTTTTAAAAGTCTTATTGTTTGAACGGCTTTCGTTTCGCAGAGAGTACCAGAGGACTCATTTCTAAGCTTGTGTTTTGAGCTTTTGTCGTCCAATTGGTTTCTGGCTATTAATAATGGATTTACACGAGAGTTTTTTGTATGATTTTAGCTGTCAATTGTTGTTGATTTCAGTGTGAAATGAAAATTTTTGACAGCTAAAATTACAAACAAAACTCTAGTGTGAATCCAGTATAAGACAACAAACGTCAGGCTTATTTCGAAAGAAAGCTTAAGTGTGCAATTACAAAATATTTTTCATCTTAGAGCTGCTATAAGTAAAAATTTTAGTTAAACATGCGAATATCGAAGGACAGAAACAGCGATTTCTTCAATAATTCCGTTGTAATATACAACAGCGACTATTTCAGAGGGTTGAGTAGTCAATGAACGTTGACTCGCGAAATGTCAATTGCATATAAATTCACTTCATCTTGAAAAAACCACTACAGATCTTCGAAATAAACTATTATTTTGTAGAGGTTCGTAGATATTGTAGAGAATTTACAGAAATTGTAGAGATTTTGTAGAGGAATAAAGTAGTAAGGAGAATGAGGCTATAGATATAGTTGATCCGAACAAGAAAAGCGTTTTCAATATTGTGTTGTTATATGTCACATAAACGTTAATTTTTTGAACATTTAATTATTTTATTTACCTTTGACCTTTGACAACATAAACATTCCACGGGCTCTTTTGATACATCATATACACAGCATACGCAATGTTGCTCCATTTTGTAAGACTTTGAAGGGACTTGTTTCCAAAACATTTGCATGTCTTCTGGTCCATTCAAATTAGGAGGAGCTAGCATAGCACTTATGAGAAACTTATCTTTTTCGAATCCCTCTTTAAGTTTTACGTGATTTTTTAGAACAATGGCAACATTTACTGATTCGCCTTGTTGCAAAACACCAAAACGTGGTCTGACACGGAATTTCGATGGTGATGAGGTCTGAATCTTAAATTAAGAACTCAAACGAGTTTTACAAAATTTATTCAAAAAGATTCATATAAATTTACCTTATATGTAATTGGAGTATTAACCGAATTTTTAAGATGCAAAAGACATTCACGTTCACCCGTTTTTGAGAAACGGAGTTTATCCTTTGGGGAAACAATTAGCATAGGATCCATGACTAAAAATTTGATTTTTTAAAAGATATACTAAAGTTTTGTTACGTGGACACTTTCCGCCAGTTGTTTTTATTGAAAATTTTGATATACGAAAATTTTTACACTTTGATTCCTTTAAATTTGATTGTTATTTTAACATATTTTACGATTGACATTTAAAACTCCTATACTTCTTAGATCTATTCAATTTAATATTCAAATATTTTACAACTATTCAGTTTGAGTCAAAAGAAAAATAATCTTTTGAAAATTATGATATGTAGAAAAATATATGGAAATATATTCCATGTAGAAGAATATATATGACAGATCCTCTGCCACGGCAAATTACTAATGTTCGACTCAGTGAAAAAATATATCAAGGACAGAGCCATATAATTATTGACAAAAGTTCATACGTTGCCCAACCCCATCCTAACAAACCTTAAGTTCTGCTCAGGATGCACAGAAAGATATGCTGATCTCCGGTTCGTCATCAGTTAGAAAATAAATAAATGATAAAAATTCTAGCTTAGTGTGGGGAAGAGCAAACACAACAACAACAACTAAACAGTTGAAAACTAAATGCTTAGTAATGCGACGAGATAAAATAATGATGGAACTCTTATAAGCCCAATCAAAAACTGAAGATAATTTTAATGACTTCGGAAAATATTGTTTTGGTCCAGAACGTGCATTAGTTCAATAATTACGCGTACAGCAAAAACTCTCCATAATTCTCAAAACTTGCAAACATCATGAAGCTAGACTATTTGGTCTGTTGTTGTTGTTGCTGTAAGCAAGTTTCTGGAACTCACACTTAGGCACTCTTTTTGTTGTGGGAAAGCACTTGAGTGTTACACTTAAGTATAACTTAGATGACGACTTATTATAATTTAATATATAGACATGTTCTTTAAGTGATACTTTACAGAACTTACATTATGTTTTTTTTATGGTAGACTAATATCATATATGTTTGATATCTGCTAAGTATTATGAGCGGTTTATAATATTTAGTGTTATATCATGGATAAGAATTCGAGATTTTGTTAGACATGTTAAATTATTCCACAGTAACATTCTGATAATTCTTACATTTTTTCCTACACAGCTATAGTATGTCCTTGCTTTCTATAGCTCCTGACCCAGATTTAAATTTACAGATTTTTTCTGACAAGCTTAGTCACCATTACTTTTTCTTAAATGTCAATGGTCTTTCACTATTATACAAATAATTTATAAATTTTTTATTATTTATTTGATATACTTATCATTTCAAAGCCCAGTGCTTTTTATGTTTGCTGAATTGAAGTTTCCTATTTAATTGAGTGTAGTGGGTCAGAAATAAAAGTGTTAAGCCCCTTAAGCTCATCATCATATGTTCAGTCAAATAGTCATTGTTATTCTATTTTAAGCTGCAAGTTGTATAGGTTGTTCTTAGATGTCTACTCTTTCTCATTTTCCCACCTAAGATTTCAGTTCAGCCAAGAACCTTCGCCATGTTTTTTCTCTGTGTATTTATTACAAAATACACATCAGAAGTCCACTATACCTGTTTTCTGGCGATTTATTTATTTGACTCTGAGTAGTCTCTTGTCACATGTCAGTCTCTTCAATAATTCAATATCTTTTTTATTTTATTTTTAATATATTTTACAAATCTATTTGATTTACATTGGATTACTCTGCATTCAGGTATCTATATATTACGCCAAAAGCAACTATAACAGGTTAATGAATACTTGAACTGTTTAGTATCATCCTGAATTGGATCTTAAAATTAAATTATATCACAGGGAGTAGTTTTACGCCATCTGTCAATTATTTGAAAAAGGAAAGATATTTTACATGTCCTTGTGTGCATTCTTCGCTGATCGATGAATATAACTTTCTCATTCATAACTACCATACCTAATAGTTAGAAATAAAACGACTTGATTTGTATTATCTCTTAATTCTAATCTTCATAATGTTAGCTTTATATCTATTTCCTGAGTCTTGAGGAAAACAAAAATTTCGTCTCTCTTTCTGCAAAGCAGCTATTAAAACTGACTAACAGAGAGCAATAGTTATAGTTGATTATGTTCTTTTCCACAAACCTGTCGTGGTTGTAATCAATCATTTACCATATAGCATGACTTAGACCCGTCCAATTTTTATTCTGACTTCTGACTATTTGACAAAATGAAACCGATAATGGGAAGAAATTGTTTCGACACCATCCGGAAATATTTAAGACGTCTCTGCTTGACGAGTATACAAATATTTAAAAAAATCTACAAAGCGTTTGTAATGCTGTATTGACTTGGATGGAGAATATTTTAAATAAACATTAAAACAGTAAATTCTTTCTTTTATTTTGAAACCAGCTTAGTAATAATCTGTGACAGAACTGATACGAGTATACTCAGCGGTTAAAGTTAGTCAAATTTACCGTGCCATTCCAACAGCTATCCTTCAGCTCACCACATTTAAAAATAGTTCGAAAAATGTATTTAATGATGTTTCGTAGTCTAGCAGCTCTCGCTCTTTTCTATCTTGCGATTATCTTTTCGAAAAATTACAAAACAAAATTTTTTTTGATAAAAAACAATTCCATAAGTTTTTGTTTCGGAATCTGTTGAAGTGGTAACAGAGACAGCTAATATCCAATTAAGAATGTGTTCCATAAGAGCTAAGACAAAGCTAATCCTACAATACAACACAACACAATATATTAAATATTAAATCGCATTGCGGAACATATAAATACGACAATAAAACCGTCACAAGCAGGGTTTCGCCCGGGTCAATCCTGAGCGGATCACATCAACACGTTAAGAGTGACGTGTATTTTAAAAACCTGTATCACAATTCTATCTCAAGGGTCCTACACGATGGTGAACTGATCCTTTTCAATCCCAATCCGGGGGTAAGCAAGGATGCGTTTTATACCCACTTCTGTTGATCAGAACCCTAGACATGATATTTGAAATATCTGAATAAATGCCTCCTGGTATTACTTGGAATTTGATCGAAAAACTGAGTAAACTCAGTTATGCGGATTAAGTAGCATTATTGTCTAGTAGACAATCCGATCTACAACAATCAATTTCCATTCTCAGCAATGAAGCGCAGCTGAATTTGTAACGTAAACAGTTTCTCCATTGATAATGAACAAATTGAGGATGTTGCTGAGGATGTTGAATATTTAGGCAGCCACTTAACAACTGACGACGGCACATGAGCAAAAAATTTCTTTGAGAATCTTGCTCGCGTATGAAAAAAAAGATCACTTTAACTAGAATCAAAGATAAAAATTTTGAATGCATGCGTTAATTCAGTGCTGCTATATATAAGTGAAACTTAGCGTACCACTTCCTCGATTCTACAAAAACTACAAACCATTGTCAATCGCTGCCTAAGAAGACTAGTAGGAATCTGGTGACCAAGAAAAATTACAAATGAACAATTGTGTCGTATCACAAATCAGACGAAAATCCGCAAAGAAATAATTAAACGTGCTTGGCTGGGCTATACTCCACAATCGGCAATTTCATATGCTGAGCTTGAATGGAACCCTGAAGGCAAAAGAAGAGTAAGAAGACATAGAACGATGTAGAGACCTACAATACAACAGGAAACATCCAAATCGATTAACGAAGTACGATATATGGCTAGAAATGGAGAAAATTGGAAATTATTTGTAAATAAACCAAAATAAAATAAATAATAAAAATTCCTGGTTATATATTCTATAAAACCAATCACCCTGATAGAACTATGGTGGGACATGTATCTTGGTACGAAGGCGTCTAAAACACAATTTTCTAGGTACCAATAATTATTTGCAAGCCACATCAAAAGACGTTATGCACAAAAGAAATATATTAACTCTGTCGGCAGTTTAATGCCCCCCTCGTTTCAACATACTGAGACACAATTTAGGGTTTACTTCTTAACTCTAGATGACAGATTTTTTACAACAGGAGACAAAAATTCGAAGCACACGCATTGAGGTTCACGGCTCTGTAATAATATTATAATATTAGTTTGTCTGATAACGAACAGAGAATAATCAGGAGAATGCATGAATACGGCTCCGAAATAGCGACTGGACTCAACCGGCATAGGAACTGTGTTTCCAGGTTTCTGAAAAGCCTGGCGGAATATAATACAGCTCCTTGCAGTGGCCAGAAGACCAAGATCGGTGCAAGTGCCGAATATGACGTCTGAAAGTGGAAAATTGGATGAACAGCGGAGAAATAAGGGTTCATATGGGACTTCAAATATACTCCTTGTTATTTGTTTTAAATTATGCATGAAAATCACTTCCTTAAACTTAGCACAATGGTACCTAAACTAAAGCTTTTGGAGAGTCATATCAAGGCCCGTTTAGAATTTGCAAATAAATACGTTCCAGACAATTACAAAAAATATTAGTGTGATTTACGTCAGGATCAGGTATTCTGCAACAAGTGAGGTTTCGGTGATGCGACCGTTATGGTATGGGGTGGCTTCTGCTATAAAGGAAAGACCTCTATATGCTGTATATCTACCCGAATGAATGCCAGCATATATGTAGAGCATCTGGATACTGACTTAGTGGAATTTCCCGGTAATTTTTATGGCGATGTTGGGGTCTACTAACAGGATAATACATCAATTGACACTGCACAGACAACAAATTGATTTTTTGGCGATAGAAAAATTCCAGTATTGAAGTAGATAGTATTGAATGTCGAGTTAAATCTCATTGAGAATCTCTGGAGGATCCTTTCTGCCCATGATTTTAAAAATGGAACACAGTTTGATACGGCACGACACCTTAAATTGACAATAGAACGTGGGTGGGTAAAAATTGGCATGTCTGTTTTACATGCATTAGTCAATTCTATATCAAATCGTCTCAATTTAGTTTTAAATAACAAAGAAAAAAATATTAACTATTAACATTAAAAAAAAGTTCAATCATATCAACATTTATTAAATTAACAGACCAAAATAAAAAAATGCACATGTAATTATTTACTATGTAGGTAATCTTTAAATAAGTGTTTTTATTATAAATTTGATTCAAATTTGGTACTTATTTGCGTTTTTATATCTTACACTATATTATAAATATAACCACATACCCAGAAAAAATTTGAAATATTTTAATTTTTTTAAATTTTGAAAAAATTTGATAACATATAATTATTTGTCTGAGGTAGACATATTCTCTTCTGGCCAGCCAACATAATTAAAACCTAATAGACTTTTATCTCAACATACCCAAGCTGCGATTTGCCTTCTGACTATTCTCCAGTTACATTTTGTTTACTTGATGGTCCTCAGTTACATCACTGTTTCTATAACCTAACAAGTCCTAGAATAAACTGACTAAAATGTAATAAGTGCGTTAGTTGACACATACACACAAATTACAGGATAAAGTGCAAGTCTCATATTGAGGATGCAATCTTGGTTTTAAATACAATTTTGAATTCACAGCAGCAGAAAACTCCGCCCCACCACCCCCACCCCCCCTAAAGACAACAAAATTTACACATCCAATAAAGTACTAACACATAGTGACATAGAGAATTTAATATCACAAAAACTTAGGTTAGGGGTTTATGCCAAAAATGTAGGTCCCCTTCAGCAAAAATGTTATTCAAGTATGCCCATAGAAGACTTAGATCTGCATAAAGCAAGAAAACCAAAGTCCTCATTCATTCTTATGGAATGCTGGAAAAGGTATGAATTTCTCCACAGAAACCGATTTTCCAGAACCGATGAAGAAATATCTAACGCATTTGCTGATTACCTAAAAAAAGTGTTTCAACCAAATTCATATGCAGCATCTATAGAAATGTATATCTTGTTCAAATAATCACCAAGAAGTTAGACTGCCCAAAAAGCCACCGGGATATGATAACATCTCACTTATCATGATAAAAATCTGGTCATAAATTTTATCATAAAAATTTTTAAGGCCATTACTAAATTTGGCTTTTAATCAATGACTCAATGACAGTGGCCTTTATAATGACTCATAAAGAAGGCAAAGATCTCACGCTTGTCTTTTCATACAGGTCAATAAGCTTAGTGCCATGTTTTTCTAAAATCTTTGAAAGAGCACTTATTTTAAAGCTGAAACCAATACTTGACGGTCAAAACCTTATACCCTGCCACCAGTTTTGTTTTAGGGAATAACATGGAACTATTGAGCAAATGAATCGTATAACGAACGAAATAGAACATGCATTTAAAATCTCTATGTTAAACAATCATTTGACAAAGTATGGCATAATGGGCTCATATATAAGATACGTACACTTCTACAAATTTTTTAATAGAAGCTGGCGTCTATTACTTAAGGAGTAGTTAACAAACAACAATACTTTTTGAGCAGAAGGTAAGTTAGGCCAGTAATATAAGGCTTATTTATTTTATTTCATTTTATTCAATGTATAGTTAAAATAAAAATTGTATTATTTTGTAATTAATGATAAGATTTTAAAACATGTTGTTAGTCTCATTGTAAGAGAAAATACAATAACTAAATGTATAGAGGTTTTTTGAACAGTAATGAACTACTACAACAAAAATTTTATTTTTATATTATTTTAATTAATTGAATTTTTGGTTGACCATACAGCTGTTTCGAGTATTGCCAAATACCTATCACCAATAGTCTTGGAAATAATTCTTGTATTTAATTATACGTAAATAATTATTTTTGAGACTGCAAGTACCAGAAATCGAACTCGGGTCCTGCCAAATGTGAAGCTCAGAATCAGCGCATCTTAACCAACTGATCCAAAGCCGTACTTGACTTTTTTTGTTCGCATATTTTTCTGGAGTTTTGTTACTTTTACTATGAAAGTTTTTATTAACAATTTTATTATTATAAAATAAATGTACAAATATTTAAAAAAAAATTGAAATAATATAAATAAAAAACAAGCATTAAAGTTATTAATTAATTAAAAATTTACGAAGATAATTTAAGTCTTAAAAAATATGTTTTATGTACTTATGTATTATATATATATTTTTGATAGTTATGTATAAACTTTAATACTTATATGTTTTCATATTTATATATTTTATATATATATATATATTTTTTTTTTTTTTTTTTTTTT